TATAATTCTAGGCCAAAGAGGGTATCCACTGCAAAAATAAAAGCAAAATATTAAAGACTACTACAGCCAGATGAAAAAAACATGAACCAATTTAGATTCCCACTGGCAAAGATGGAACAATTCAGCATCAATAAGGAAACTATAATGGATTGGTACACATTGATTTTTATATCCTTGAGTTCATAATCCTATTTTTAAAACTCTCATTGGTCATCTCTGCAGGATGCTAGAAAACCAATTAATTCTGACAACTCTGAGTCAAATGAAAGAATCAAGCACTTATCCTATAAAAGTAGTGCTTCATGGTAGCCAAGAAAGTATTTACTTAAAGAATTATTCCCACTAAGAAATATTGAAATATTGAGAAAATGAGAATATCAACATTTTACAAGCTATAATGAATTCATGGATCTGGGCAATGCTCATCAATGCTTTCTAACACCACAAAATGAGAGACATTATATTTCTCATGACAGAAAAATACACTGCAACCTGTGAAATATTCTTATCAAAATAATATTAAATTTATTTTTTTTTTGTCTTTTTGAGACAGGGTCTCATTACACAGTTCAGACTGGCTTTGAGCTCACTTTGTAGCCCACACAGCTCACTTTGTAACTGGTCTCAAACTCAGAGTGATCCTCCTGAATCAGCCTCCTGAGTGCTGGGATTACAGGCATGTGACAACACACCTGGCAAAAGAATATTAAATTAACATGTGCATGTTAATAAAATATTAAACTAGAATATTTAATTAGAATGTGATTAAGTTTGTAGATTTACTTCACAGAAAATACAGGAGATAGACAAATATTTGAAAGCAGGCTATAGAAAACTATAGTTTTCTAAAATATGAGGAAAATATTTGGAATGGTATCACAAACCCCTGAGTATTTTCTCTTGTGCTGGCTTTTTGTTTTGTAGTTGTGAGGGCTGTAAAAGCCACAGACATTTTGTCTACATGTAGAAAAGCTATTTGGATTAAGGTGACCACAAAAATAGACAGCAAGAAAATCACATATAATGGAGGCCAGTGACACAATGGAATTATCAATCTCTAGATCAAACACTGTTGGAAGCCCACCAAATCTTATTGTTTAAATTGATTTCAATTGACTTTTTTTTATTTGTAACCTAAAGCATACTAACCTATCCATTATGGAAGAAGCTACATATTGTGAAGAGACAACTTCAAATAAGGAGATTCAAACTTTGATTCTATATATAGGCAAGACTTCTCTATCCATCTATCTATTTATCTGTCTATCTATCTACCCATCTATCTTTTTCTCAATTTATAAATAAAATTAAATTGAAGATTTCTTTCTTTTAGTTTTTAAGATTCATCAAAGACATATTTGTTGTAAGGTACTCTAAATTTTCTCTAGGGACTAATCATTGAGACTCTTTTGCATACTTATAAGTGACCCAAAAGATACTGCAGCAAAAATTTAATGTTTAAAACATTTTCTATAAACAACATAAATGAATGATTTTAACTTTTAGGTTTGATCCAAAATAAATGAAAACTCAATATAAATAGAAAGATATACATAAATATACGCTGCATCCAGGGCAGCTCTTGAAATTCCCCAGGAGGAAGGACAGTGGAGGATGAAGAAAAGAAGACAAGAGTCAGAACAGAGAAAGCTGAGGTCAGGTGGAGCCTCCTCTCCTGATGGGAGAAAAGGAACTGCCCAGCAACTGCAGTGTGAAAAAGAGGAAGCACATGATGGAGTCAAAAGGGCAAGGTCTCACTGTTTTTCTGAGAACACTGACAATGAAACATTATAAACATTCTCAAAGCTATCTGTGCTGTAATTAACAGGGAAGAACACCAGTGCCAGACACCTGCTGGACTGACCTTGCTCTAGTCCCAACAACTTGTTTACACGGCTCACCTCTGGAGCTCCCTGTTCTCAGGGATGGCCTTGCTCTAGCCCCTAGTCAGTAAAGGAGTTTACCGACCTCCAGTTCAGCCAGGGCTCAGCTGCTCCCCACATCTCCCCTTTTTCTATTGCTTAGCTGCAAGCAGTGGGTGGTCAGCTAGAGTTGGAGGACCTGTGTTTGGAGGACTCTGCAGAAGACGTTCTTCTTTGTGGAAAGCTTTTCTTCTCTTCTCCAGGCATCTGTGGGGAAGTCTTTTCCTGTCAAGGCCCTTTTTGTCTCAAACCCTTTTCACTCCGAGTGGACTTAATCATTTAGGTTAAAAATTCCAAGTCAAAGGATTTCAGTCCAAGTCTTATGTTCAGAAAATTAACACTATAAAGCCCATTAACCCATAACAGTAGTGAGTTACCAATGTAACTGGCAATTGTCAGAAGGTATTAGTGATTTGAGCCTCTTTTATAGCTAGCATATTACTATAGCATTGTTTTATACATCTCATGGTTATACTTTTCTGCTGGATGTTCAACACCAAGTTAAGGTGAAACCTGTATTAATCAACTTTTTCCTATCGATCAAACTCAGTAAAGTGTCTTCAGGATTTACCTTGGAACCATGTGTAGCATCTCTTAGTTCTTCTGTCAGTGTCAGCCATCTGGATGAGTCACAGCCATTGCTTGACCAAGTTGCTGTCTGCAAAAGATTGGGAGACTTTTCTCTCCTAGTGATGCTCCTTACCACACTATATACCATTGATCTCCTTCATCTATGGTCAGTCTCTTTGGTCAGAAGATTGGGGAGTCATCAAGTTGTAGGATGTTACAGCAGAGGTGCTCTTATGTCCTGGGTTCTCACTGATCTCAGAGGGCTGAGGCCAAAATAATGGCTGTCCATGTATCTTTCTAGTTTTGGCTACTAAACCTCAGTTGTTGAACACGCAGAAGAGAAGATTAATGAGCTTGTATTGTAATGGGAGCAGTGAACTTCATATTATAATTTTATCTGAATATCAATCATCTTGAAATACAGTGCAAAACTGTTATTTCCTACTAACCATGGATGTCCTAGTAGTTCAATTCCTGTAGAATGTTGACAGACAACAGTTATATAATTTTACACAGAAAATTTAAAAACAAAAGTCATACATAATATTGTAGCATGACAATCATGACGGCATTTTTGTAACACAAATTTCCATTTTGACATAAAATAGCCTTTTTAATCAATCTTCTCTATCAAGTACATAAGAAGATCTCACCTAATTTGTTGTATTTTTAAATGGGATGTCATTGAAGTGTGTGGTATTTCCTGAACTGCTTAATGTCTAAACATTTTTAGTGGCACATACATAGCATACATATCACATAAGTTTTTGTTAAAATATTACCATTGACTGGTGGCCTCATTTTGGCTTGACATGAACCTCTTATCGCAAATGTCTGGAGCACAAGAGAAAGAAAGATGTCTGCATCTGAAAGAAAAGGCTTATCATCATAAACAATACTAGTTTTACAATTTAAAAGACCTGTACAACTGGAAGGCATAAATACATTTAATACACAATGAGATTAGCAACAATCAATTATCATAGCCATATGAAAAATTCTGTTTCTTAATTTAGTCTTCTACCAGAGCATCTTTAAATCAGAAAACTTTATTGCCTTATTTTTAGAAAACTTAATCCTTTTATGATAACCGATGTAAATATATCACAATAATATTTTAATAACATTTATTGGGGTGTCTCCCATAAGGCTATGGAGATCATTGGGGCCTCCCATTAATGAACAAGAACTGGATAATTATTATTTCAGGCAGCTGCTTTCCTGTTCATCAGTTGGAGTCCTGTCCAATTTCTCCCCACCCTAAGAGATTTTTGTTTAATTATCATAACAATGTTTTGATAACTTATGAAAATGAGATCATATCACTTAACATATTATTTTTTGAACAATGAAAAACTCTCAAATCACCATCCAACAATAAATAATAAACAACAATATGCATTGCATTTATAAAACCAATTTTAACATCATTTTGGCCAGGTGGCAACTTTGGTGGAAGCATATCAGACAAATGCTTTAAAAATCCACAAGCGCAAAAAAGAAGGAAAATTTGTTGGGCTGAAATAAAAATCCCTGTTTATAGACTGGACAAACAGGCAAACTAATATACACAGACAAACAAACAAATATACATAAGACAAATCTGTTTATAAAATCAGGGTGCATTCAAATATATTTTGGCCCAAATGAATTACAATAACTATTACAATTCTAGAAGTTTGTAATTATAAATAGACTAGTCATAATTATTTGTAGATCAATTGGCAGAGATCTCTTATAAGAAGAATTTGGCAGGAATAAAACCTTTTATCTAATATGTAAATTAGATATAATTTATAATGTATAAATATACATATGTATTTCATTTTATCTTAAGAATACTCGCAACTTCTGTGTCCCTTTCTTTCATGTAGTTTACAGCTCAGTTATTTCCACATACTCCGTCATATACTTAGACCTTCATTCATTTAACAGGATTTCTAGGATCTCTCTCTGTAAGATTTATGGTAATCTGAGCTAAAATTATCACTTATGTAGACTTCCCCTATTTGTGTGTGTGTATATATATATAT